ATACCAGGGCATCGGGGGGCAGACGAAAATATTTGACTTTATTTTAAGACTTACTATCAATCGATTCATTATTTTCTTAAATGTGAAAATATAAAGTTTTTACAGGTTAAAATGTTACTGATTACTTTTTGTTTTTATCCGTTTCAAACAAAAATAAAATAAAATGAATTCGGTTGTGTGCAGCCTACAATCTTCCAAAGATGCTGATATCAGAACCAGAATTTTGAGCAAAATTGAATAGTGTCCGAACATAACATTACAAGAAGTAACCGCTGAGTGCCAAAGCTCTTTGGCACTCAATGGTCGACTGGTCGACTGGTAAACTTGAAGCACGATGCTTCCATAGTTGAAAATAATAGCCGGTTGACATATGTCCATGCTGTAGGCGAAAAGAAAGATTTCTGCCCAAGTATCGCTCACAGACGACCAGCCCCCATTTCTGTGATGGTCATGTAGGAGTTGGTACTATAGGAGGTTCTACCCGTATAAAGAACATTGTTGCAGAAAATATCATCGTAAGGGGCATAAAGAAACAAACTGCAGAAGAAGAACCCATAAACGACATTCTTCGAAACTATACTACAAGAAATACAGTTCTGGCGCATTAACTTACAAAATATTGATATCACATAACCGTGCACGAATTTACCGCTGAAAAACGTATGTAACCTTGGACATTAATAAACGGCGTACTCGCCTTCAACTTGATACAGCATCTGATATTACTTTAATCAGCCCAGAAACTTGTGGGAAGATTGGGAGACCCACAGTGCTTCCAACAACATAACTGGCACACAGTACATCTAGTGGGGAGTTAAATATTGTTGGAGAAGTACCATGCATTGTTTTTAAAGGTTTTGTAACGACAAATGCAACAGCATACCTTACGAAGAATCCGGCACTCGACTTATTGGGGTTAGATCTTCTAGAGACACTTAAACTATCAGGCCATTCCATTAACAGTATCTGCAGACGAATTACAGCTCACAAATCCTTAGAGTGTAACCAGAAAACTGCCGTACTGCAAAGACATCACAAAGCTTTTAAAGACGAATCGGAAGAATGTACGAAGGCCAAGGCATTGTTAAACCTAAAACCTAGCGCTACTCCCATCTTTCGACCTAAAAGACCTTTACCTTATGCAGCGCTATTCGTTGTTGAACAAAAATTGGAACGACTGCAAAGAAATGGAATTATAGAACTAATGAACTTTTCTAACTGGGCAGCACCGATGGTAATTGTTAAAAAGCCCAATGGAAGTATCCGACTATGCGCAGATTATTCGACTGGATTAAATGAAGCACTTTTAGCTCATCAGTACCCCATGCCGTTGCCAGAAGACTTATTCGCAGAACTTAATGGGAGGAAGCATTTTGCAAAACCTAACCTATCAGAAGCTTATATATGGATACCAGTAGCGAAAGAGTGTAAACATTACTTCACAATGAACACTCCTAAACGGTTATTCTGATATAACAGACTTCCGTTTGCAGTAAAGACCTCTCCTTCAATCTTCCAACAAGTTATGGATACTATGCTACAAGATATTTCTGATACTGAGGCATTTCTCGACGACATACTAATCATGGACACAGAAAGTGCATACAGTTCTCAGACGCATAGCAGATTATGGGTTCACATTGCGTTCTGAAAAATGTGATTTCTACATGGAGCAAGTCCGCCATTCGGGATTCATAATAGACAAAAAAGGAAGAAAACCTGATCCTGAAAACCTCGAGGCTATCAAGTCCATGCCTCCACTGACTGATGTATCAACTTTACGCTCTTTCTTGGGGATAATTAGTCATTATGGCGTTTTTCTTATAGATCTGCATCGTCTCCGTGCTCCTCTTAATGGGTTGCTGGAAAAGGATACCAAATGGTTCTGGTCAATTGAGTGCCAAGAAGCTTCCCTCAAGCTAGAATAGCTACTATCATCAAACCTACTGCTAAGACACCATGATCCAGATCTTCAAATTATAGTGGCAGCAGATGCGTCAAATTACGGAATCGAGGCAGTGATTCAGATGCCTACCCTGACGGGTCTGAAAAGGCAATCTCTTCATGGTCGCTGACTATGACAGAAAGGAACTACACTCAGATAGAAAAAGAGGACCTCTCTGTTATATTTGCTGTAAAAATGTTCCACTAGATGCTATTCAGCAGACAGTTTACCTTATTAACAGACCATAAACCGCTACTGACAGTTTTGGGATCCAAGAAAGGTATCCCTTTATATAAGGCAAACTGTCTACAGAAATGGGCAACTATGCTGCTGGACTATGATTTCAAGATGAAGTATCAACCTACCGATTCATGACTCGAATGGATATCAGCAGACTTCCCATCATAAGGCTTACGTACTTGGACTCTTAACTTCTGTACTATATTGGCATTATTAACGGCTGTTTTTCTAAAGTCCAGACCTGATGCAGGTCCAAAGACAGTCCATCCGAGCAACATTTTCACGGCTTACGGGCTTTTCCTCCCACCCAACTGTTGTTCAAGCACTCAGTGGGCTTCCAGAACACCAAAACCAATCAGCAACAGAACTTCTCCGGAATCTAGAATGTCTAAGGGCACATCAGCTAAATGCGGGTACTTGACTATGCTGCTCATTACTTACTTCTTCGGCTTATGCCCTGGTATACTCCACACAACCAGAGCTACTTCAATCGTAACATGCTCAGATTGGTCTAAAGAATGTACTTCAAAAGGCGCCTTTGTGTGCCTCGTTGTTCTGTTACTGCCTATAGTTTGTAATACCACAGACGCCTAATCCTCCCTCAGCCCGAGCGACCTCAAACAGTCTGACCTGATCAATGTTACATCAGAGCGATTATCCGAAAGTGCATAGCCTACAATTTTAGCATTCCACGATCTCAACTGCACAGGGATCATTCTCAAACACACATGACCATCTAGGGACTTGGTAAATCCACAACACTTTTCCGCACTGGATTTTTCCTCTCAGCCGCTGACTATCGAATCATTGTGCATTAGTGGGTGATGTTTCTTCGTACATTTGTCGACGGTGCAGCGCTCACTCAATGTACATTCTTTAGTCTTGCGCTCTTGCTTAAGTCATATGAAACAGATACCCTTGCTCTTAACTTGAGACCATCAACTTTCCACCTTAAGCGCTAAAATGCATGGGCATTTATCAACGGCGTGGTTACCAGAACATATACCACACTTAGTGCTCACAGTCAAAGCATTCCACTGCCCTGATAACGAATGATAATTCGCCCTCATGCTACATTTTTTTGGACGATCCGCTAACCATCCAAATCTGCTTGTAGCCACTCTTGCGCGGGCTGTTACAAACTTGGTAAGCTCAGCAAACGTAGGTTCTCTATCATCTTCAGTCAACCTCTCTATTAGTTCTGTCCACTGTACTTGCATGGGTTGAAGCAAAAGCCTCACTAATCTTTCCAAGGTGACCAGAGAATTTGGATCTGCAGTATAAACCATCTCTTCCAAAACAATACATCAATTTCCCATTTTTATAGCCAAGTTCAACAGCTGTTCCGCGTTATTATAATCAAAATGTACAGTGTTGAATAGGTTCTCCATAGTTTCACGGGCTATTACATGGGCCTGTCCAAACAAACGTTTCAGAATTCCTCTGGTTCTTTTATAACCATCAGCAGCATCCATCACGACACAACCTTCAAATGCTGCTTTCGCCCTGCCCTTACAGTAATATATCAAGTAGTGCAGATGTTGACTATCATCACTGACTCCAGATGCAAAATAAGTCACAAAATATCCAATAAACTTCCAGTACTGTTTTGGTTGTCCACCGAAATAGCTTAATTCAACCTTTGGTAATTCTAGAACTACTGGAAGTTTGGGCATAACATTCTGCTTTGATAATTCAAGTCTTTGCTTTTTATCTAAACTAAAACTTTCTACTTCATCTCCCATTAAATTACAACTAGAGTAACTATCACGATAAGTAGCCCTAGCTGTGTCTCAACCAGGAGACAAAAAGACATTAGAAGGCACTTACTTAATACAAAGAGATTCGTTGATTAATTTGCATCCATTAGCCTGGAAATTATCTTCTTTTAACGAAGTTTTGTCATATCGAACGAAGCGACCAAACGTCCGGAAACCAAGATTGAAATGTACAACACGATCGCCAAGCACCTTCAACCAATCGGTATTTGTACAGAACTATTAGATACAAACTAAGTTTGAATGAAGAATAACTGTCTGGTAAGAAAAGAGACGCGTATATATTAATCGAGGTCAGAACAAGGTGATTGGGATAACAACAGTTATACATTTCATCGTAAATACAAACGTACTATTTTACCTAAAAGAATAGTAATACTCAATTTTTCAATCAATAATTGTTCCACAACAATCTATCTGAATTATAATAAATATACAAATTAATAAGAAATATAAGAACATTTACCGAACCATCCAAAAAGTAAGTGTTATTCTGTCCATTCTGAATAGATCAAGTAAAAGTCCGTTTAAGAGGTTGCTTTATAACACAAAGTGTTTCCAATTCTGGGAAAGTGCTCCAATTTACAACCAAAAATGTACGAACCCAGTCAAATCAAGCAACACAATGAAAGAGGGAACAATCAATATGACAGCCGCCAGGATAAAATACCAATTAAAACAACATAGATGCAGTTCAGAAAGAAACATAGAAACCCAGAGAAAGCAACAGAGAAACTGAGAAAACTATTATGGAATGAAACATTACAATCTCAAATGGCATGAAAAAGATTAAAAATATGTACAAATAAAGAAACCATTGAGAGCAATTTGCAAATGTGTGCATAAAAGGATTTTCACGCACGAAACCTTCAAAATGGATCTTACAATTAGCTCTAAGTTATGCATACTGGCCATCAATGGACCATGACATAGAACAAAAATGTCGCAGTTGTTTGTCCTGTCTAGAGGTCGCAAAGAACATCTTATACATATACACTTTAATCGAGACCACAATGTGTTTGACAACAAAAAAGAATAGTTGAAGTGATTATGAAGATAACATTGTTCAAGAAGAAAATATTATTCCTGATGTACGGTATTTTTTG